TTATTAACCAGAACTGTTTTTCGCGTTTTTCTCGAGTTGAAGTTTTGATCGAGAACGACTCATTGGGACCGCCGCCAAATGGAGTGCGTTCGGACTAGGACATTCAAACTCGCAGTTATCGTTCAAAAGATAATGATGGTGCGAAATATATCTGGGTTTTTAAAGAAAATGCTTTGTCACAGAATAATAGTCTGTTAAAGGTGCCAAGTATGAAATAATTTGGGGCCAAAAAAACAAACCTGCATAGAAATCGGAATAATAGGTCTTTTGATTATCGGAGACGCATTTCAATGGACTTGATCACGGACAATGCATGACGTAAATTTCACCAGGAAATTCCGCAGTGTGCTCTCGCAATCGCGGACTTAGTCATTTTTACAAGGTTCGCCATTTTTGATGTCACGTGATAATTATGTAAACAATGTCTGTCCAGTTTGTGCGAACTTGCACCTCTATACTTAGTCTTTCGATATATATAACCTAAATTACTGTTCTGAACGAGACAACAGACAGAGAATGTTTTATTTAAAAACGTCACAAAACCTTCTCGCTACCTTAAACCAATAATCATTATCCAGGGTTAATAAATACACAATGTACACCAGCTAACATAGGTTCTCGACAACTTAGGATAAGTTGGTCATTGATTTGAATTGTTTTTATGATTATATGCTGTGATTCACCACACTATAACACGAAAATATATTTGACATAATATCGCACATGCTACACAAAGATGTTTTTGATTCCATTGTAACCGAACAACAATAGTGTTATATGTACCATATACCAGCAATAAACTCGCGATGTTGGTGCGCCATCTATCGACGTATTTTTTTGAAATCCATGAGCAATCGCCGCCATTGCGAAGAATTCGAATTCAAGTTTATTCATGACACACCTTTTTTCATTTTTGAATCTTCTGGTGTTTCTTAAGGTTAAACACAGCACGGTTCTTATTACGTTTCGTATACACATTTGGTATAATAGTTTCACATTTAGAGAGCCACTAGAAGTAACGACCACCGAATACGAAACGCGAATATTAGTATACTACTATTTAGTCACAGTGCCTGAGAGACTGATTTTGTGTTATATCATGGAGGTAGAAAAGATGGTTATATCGAACATTCCAGTAGAATACACAGCAGGCGGTGAACCAGCGGTCGCGTTTATCTGGCTGCGTTTTTGGCTTTGGAAATCGAATAAAATATATTTCAGCTATCGAACATCTATCTGGATATCGGGAATCGCTCTTGTATTCTCTCTTTTGACTCCATTGTGGAAGTAAATAGCCGTATTGTTGCTGCTTTCATGCGTGTAACAATGGCGTTGATGCCCTTTAGCGAAGATAGCTTGATCTATGTCACGGGACTATGACTGTTGTCACATCGCGAATCAGATTACGCGAGATTTCGCAAACTACGGGAAAATGGCTTATTATCTTGCTGCTCGTTTTTACGTTTGAGGGCGCTGTTTGTCTATCAATATACCGGGCAGAGATTGTATTAGAAATTGCAAGTGCAATGTCAAGGTGATATTATCCCCTGATATCACAGAGGAGTGCATGATACATGTCAGTAAGTCACGTGTATCAATCAACTCCGCGATTTGTTGATAACATGTGAGCATCTGCAAGCGGTAAAAGAACAGATAAATCGTAATGTGACGGAACTATGCTAATAACATTTATGCTAATTAAGAATGACGTCTACGCTAGACTGTAGACAAGTATGTGTAGTTACGGTCATCAACTTGATGTGTTTTTTTGGTTGATACTTGGCAGCATCGTTATCGTTTTTTGCGATACATTTTCAAACTGAATTTTCAGTAGGCATTATAATAATATTTTAATTATAATATTCGGTTAATTTTTGTTATCAGTCTGGAATTCTCATACTTCTGCATTATCGTGTTACTGTCGCGTGATTTGTTTACCTACATAATGATAACGTATACCATGAATATCATGACTTATACCATACATTCAGTTAGTATCATTTCACATTTCACGTCATAAGTTACAGCATCCCGTAATTTTGCGGTATTTCACTGGGTATTTTCATCTTACCATATTAGGAAATGCGAATAATAAATAAATACCAACACGGCTGCCCCAGGGTACTTTATTTTAAATTTCACTTTTTCATTCACGAGAAAGGCATAGACAAGTAATGATTAATAAATTACATCGAAAACAAGTATAGGTTATACGAAGATACCGCAAAGTATGGGCTCAGACAGTACGCGATCGCATCGACCTCCACTACGCATCGGTCAATATTGTCTTTGTGTATACTTGTATATGTGCGGAATTCTCGTAATAACCTCATAACATCGTCATGTGGCAAAGGATTTTAATATAATAATATCCACAACATCACTATCGGATTGTTAAATTCATGCAAATATATTTGACTATTTTCATGGATTGGTGAACCCCATTTTTGTTCGTTTTATTTTATATTTCTTGTTTCTTTAATCTATCAGTGTTTTCAATTCGGTGTTGTCAATTTTTATAGACGTTTTACTTAGTAAAATTTTCTAAATTCTAGGGACACTAACAATAATAACATTAACTTACAATAGAAAACTGCATTGAACTTACAATATCATGACCAGACACGTAGGTTTCTATGGATGTAGAGGTTAGTCAAGGAGTACCAGGCTTTAGGCCATTATGTGGTACACTGCCTGGTATGCTATTTAAAAGCGCGGCCTGCATCATAAAAACGAATGTATATGTCCGCATTTAATGTGCCAGCAGTGCAGGTCACAAAACTCATTTTAATCTTAATCGTTGTTCGGAAAAAGCATAATTATTCCTGAGTGATTATAACATCTGTATATGTTTTAATTTCGAGCAGGAACGAAAAGTAGATGGATAGTTTCTGCAATAATAAGTATATCGCTTCAAAAGGAGTAAACGAAGTAAATACATGAGTGTGTCTGCAGAATATGTTTCAAAATCGTATTATTTTATGAGTGTTGGCAACAAAAACAAATTATACACATTTTATTATTTCATTTCAACTAAATACATGCAGTATATTCAAGACAAGTAATTTGAAAGCGTCGGTAGTAGAAACAAAACCTATAAACAGCGAGAACTCAGACAGTCTTGCATTTCCCGAACTCACGAAAACGTTTATTCCAAGCCTGCATACAACGAAGATTGTTTTTGAATAATATGTGTTCTGCATACCGTGCACTCGCACATTGTTCATTTTTCATCAATCTGTAATCGAGATAATGTTCGCTATTTTGTTGTTTGTGTTCAATGAACACATCATCGCATAATGCTATTCTCAAGTGACCCAACGCATCTACATAAAAATCCCGGTGAGAAATTCTTTCAAACTCTAAATCAAACCCGACTTTTCGAACTGCCTCTGTCTTCGCCATAAAGAAATTAATTACCATATCCTTTAGTTGGCAGTTAGGAAATTCTTTCAGTGTGCCATATGATGCATGGCTTTCGGAAATACAGCCACCATTTTCTTCGTTTGTATAACTGGCTTGCGCCCAGGAATGTTTATTAAGAAAAATTGAGATTTTTCCCTCTGGGCTCATTAATTGTCCAGCTACTAAGTCTAACTCGGCTGTTGGGGATTCAAGTTTCTCAATAAAGCGTTCCAAAATTGTATGATTCGTAAATACAAAATCATCATCGACCCATAAAAAATATTTTGTGCGCACCTGGCTTACTAGCAAATTCTTCCCAGCAGCATAACCTTCTAAAAATGGCATCAAATAATGTTTCACATTATTACCTTCAAGTTTTTGTTTGTTCTCAGAATCATCTGCAATTATTATTGTCATGTTTGGGTAGAACTTATTAACGCTTGAAATCAGTGCATTGACACAGTCGTACCGTTCAAATGTCTTTGCCACAATCGTCACTTTATTATTTATATCATTGCCAGGTCCTGGATCATATAGCCGCGGAACATGCTGTCTTTGTATGAGAACATTCATAAAGACATTATAGATGTCTTGAAATGAAATATCAATGTAATCTCTCTGTCTTTTATGGTGTTCCTGGCTAGTGTAAACCACATGTTTGAGAACAGCATTCATGTTAGTAA